AATAATAGCACAAATCACCGTGTCACCCCAGCACTTCAAAACTTCATTCTCTGAGCTGCTGAACCGCAGTACCTAAAGGTGCTCAGCAAGTAGAAGGGGAGTGGGCAGCAGTTGTACTGATTCGCGTCACAGCAGTGTCAAAAATGGTGATGCCAGTTCTTTCGGAAACTAATACTGCCCAGGAGCACTTAAAGATTTAGACCAGAATCTCTCACAATTCATAGGTTCTGTTATTTCTAGAATGTCAAAATCCTTCCTTATGATTTTGACAGCTGATGCCTAAACTGTGCTAAGCACAGCACATTACCTGAGACAGGCATAGCCAATGTTCAACTTTTGTAGCACAAAATTCAAGGAAGGCAAATTTCTAGAGAGAACTTCCAAAAATCTGCTGTTTCCCAAAATAAAGTCTGCATTTGCAGGCAAACTGACTCCTTAAAAAACTCAAAAAACCCTCGAACACCCAACCCCAACCAAACATCAAGAACAGGATTGAAGAAAACCCCACTTCAGAACCAGACTTGGACCATTCACATAGCTTCTCTTTTAGCAAGCACCATGTCACGTAATTAGCCACAACTTTTAGCAGAGACAAAAGTATGAGATTTTTGTAGCAATGGTCCAATTCTCAACATTTTATGGCAGGTCAATATTGCAAAAACCAAAGAGTCCTAATTTCATTGCAAGATGAAGCAAGACGTAAAACCACAGAGCAAATGAAGCTAGATAGCAAAATCACTGTTAATATCTTTGAAAAGTGGCATAGTCAGAAGCTGATGGATACTTGTTAGTGAAAGATTTCCTTATTTTCCTATTTTTCCCCTGTTCAGCACTGTATACAGAACACATTAATGAGTTATCAACTTCTGAAGAGCCAGAATCCACTGGCACTGAGATGTCCCTGAAACGTCACCTTTCAAAGAAAATCTCCAGCAAATGGTCTAACGTTACAAGCTCTGTTTAAAGTATGTTTATAAAACTATTCACTCATTTAATGAGTAACAAGATTAAAGTTTATGTTACTAAACCAGAGATGCCTGATTTTAGGAAGTCTACAGCCCTTCGAAAAATTACTATAGCCATATTTGAGAAATTATTTGCAATAGTCAAACCTAGTCCAGAAACAGGGGGAAAAAACCTTCAAATTCCTTCTACTCTGTTTTTTTAAGAATCTTACTAGTTTAGTTATTTTTAGCTATTTATACTAATTTTTGCCTAATGATACTACCTAGACCATCTTTCTAGCTCTGGTACAAATCTAAAAAAAGAGTTGCAAATTAAAAGAGAAAATATTATGTGGCACAGTGTAACAAAAAATAATTTCATTTCCTCTGGAAGATACTCTAGGCATTCTGTACCTGCAGATTAAAGGGGGACAAGAGAGAAGAAGAAAATACACCTATGGCTTATGTTGCTATAGCTACAAGATGCTTGGATTTTCAGTTCCAGTGAATGAATCAATAGAAACCACAGCTTCACAGCTTCAGTCTCCTCTTTTATTCATCAAAGGCAAAACTGGAAGATGGGTTGCTAAGCAACATCACACAGAAGAGTGCAGAGCTTTGAAATTAGCATTACTGACTCCCCTCCATCCCAGAAGTCTGTTCCATTCAAACCCACTTATTAACAAGTTAAAACCCCTCACCAAACTACCAGAACATGCATTTTTAACGTTAGAAAGAGTAAAAAGCATAGAGGTATGACACCAAACCATTTCTTCTGCAGACTAAGTAAACAAAAAAAACAAAAAACACATGAAAACTGAAATTGGCTTCTAGAAACAAAAGTGATATAGAAAGGACATTTATTTCGCCTAAGAATATTATTTTAAAGCAAGTTTTTTTTCTGAAAGACTAATTAGAGCCTTTTTTTTTAAATTGCAAAGCCACAGAAAGCTTAAAATCTCAGTTCAATTTCTATCAACTAATTTCATTGTCATGACTTAATCTATCATGACTTAATCTGTCACACATACTTTATGAAAGGCTAATGTCGACTTTACAAGAAAAGCAGATCAGATGCAGATGTCTTGATGTTTTTGAAAACATCTTGCACCTATTTTTATTCTGAACTTCAGCTAAATGTTATTCCTATGCTATCTAGGAAGTAACAACACATTGATCCTGCATGAATAAGGCTGTGTACAAAGGAATGTTTTATTAGAAGCTGCCTTGCTAAGTACTTATTCTTTTGAAGTGAGAAAATCCCCACCACTGAGCATAGTTTAAGAATTTATAGCCTACTAAACCCCACAGTCAAAAGTTGCCCCCATCCTCAGAATTTTCCAGATCTTTCCATGCTCTTCATCCCACTCCCATACCATCAGGTTTTCCCCCAGTATACTAAATCTTCCTCGTCTGAGCTCTGCCATAGTGCAAAAACTTACATGCAAAAACCAGGGGGGCTTGTGTTGTGCCTAGTACAGTCATGTACACACTGACTGACAGCGCTCAAACAGAAGGGACAAAGCCACACCGTAAGTTTCATGGACCCCTGACTTATTTGAGTCTCTTCTCCATTCTAATATTCACAGAAATTTTGCAGAACTGTCACAATCCTAAGACACATCTCTTTATTTTAGTTTAGCTGACCAGCAGCTCCAAAGTTACTGGAATGCAGGACCTAGCAACCACCAGCAGGCAGCATCATTGTCTAGGTGATGCACCTCAATATATTCAGGAAACAAGGCTAAAACTTCCCCAAGATACAGCACCCAGTTATTGATAGGCAAGATATACAACAGATACAACAGTAAACAAGCTCCCTTTGGTAGATAGCCTTAACATTGAGTTGTCCTAAAAAGAGACCCAAAAATCAAACTGAAAGTGACTTTACAAAATGCCAACAGGAAATGCTAAAAACTCAAATTGCTTATAAAATATATAAACTTAATCACTACCATTAAGAATTCCCTTTTCATGCCAAAACATTACTTTTCTAGTAATGAATAAAATATTCATTTTTATTTCTAGAAATACAGAATTTTTAGAATTCTAGAAAAAAGACACAACATCAAGTGCTGTTTGAAAACCAAATAGAGCAGTGCAATAGCGTTTTTTCAAAAATTCTGCATCAGTGAAAAGAAACCTGATCTTTCTCCTTCCTTTGACTCATTCATGACACAGTACTGCTCCCCTAAAGATTTGCAGGTATATATTCTGTATGTGAGACAAGATCATAAACCCCTGCATTAAGTTACTTCCCTAAAACGAGGTTTTATAGAGATCAAACAAAATGAGAGCCATCTTCTGCATATATGACTATGTTGTCTACACATACAGTGTTGAAAGACTATCCAATACAGATTAAGAACAATTTTCTTCATGGAAATCTGACAGGTGGATAATAGCAAGAGCAGAAAGTAAATTCTGTGTAAGACCTTAAGGTTCTATGAGTCTTTATTGAGTATTTACATACGATCTGTATTTTAACTGTTCCATTTTCATTTAAAAATCTTAATTTAATTGAGAACAATGCACATAGCTATTTGTTTTCATTATTTTTTAAAAGATAAAGCATGCCTTTAATATATGTAGAAATAAAACCCCCTCATAATTTAGAAATACTCCTGTATTAATAAAGATTACACTGTAATTATGAGGTAATGGTTTACGTGAATTAAAATCCAGCATCTTAACAATGCAACTCAACTAGACAGGTTGTTGTTTTAGTGTTATTTCAAATAAACACAACAAAATATTGAGTTATATGTTTAAAACGTTTTTATAATGCCAATAACACTTTGTTATGATAGCACTTTACATAACACACATGGGAGCAGTATTCAATCCTGAATGAGAGCAAATACAATTTCTTTCAATTATTTTCATAAAAAAAAGGCCTCTAAGGTAGTTAAATTCATCATATCCACATTAGTTTTTTGCTGATGTGGTCTCTGTCACTGCAGTATTTCATTCATAGTTTCCAAAGTCTGATTAAAAAAACTCCATGAATCATACAAAAAACAAATTCAGTTTCTCAGAGATGCACGGGCCTTGTCCAGTATTTCCTTCCTGATCTTCGGATAGTTTGGATGTGCTTTAAGGACCTGTAAAAAGACAATACAACCTGAAAGTTCTGAGTTGGTAATCCCCCTTATCACTGAGCTTATACATTTTAAAACCAAAATAGCAACATGACAAGTTTCTTTTAAGAATGCACCAATATTTAATTGTGAATAGAGATGACCACACATGCAAATCAAAACCAGCTTTATCAAAGACTTTGTTTCATTTCCACAGTCTTTTCACCTTGGTTCAAAAGACATGGAGGTCAAGGGCTAAAGCCTCTGGGTAGTTTGAAATGCATAAAACATTTCTGAGGTTTTAAGCATACTTTCTCTGCAACGATGATGCTGCCTTCATGTTTTCAGTCCCTTGGCTCTTTCCTAGCACATTCTACCTACTTCCACCTTCTTCTCTTCAATTCCCTCTTCTCTCTTATCCTTCCATTCATTTTGTCCTTCCTAATTATCTTTATTTTTTCCCAAGAAGAGCAAATTTAATTTATTCTTAATATGAATAATTATTAATTTAGAATGTTCCCTCTGCTTCTTTAATAGTAGCCCTTCCTCTTACTCTGCACTCACTCTACTGATGTTTGGACCATACAAAGATAATACCTCCAGTTGCTTTCGAGCAGTGTCTTCTTTGATTAGGTATTTTTTTTCAGCTATACTTCTGTATGGATTCCCCAAGTTGCAACCACATGGCCAAAGAACGTGGTGCCATTTGAATATTCCTTCACATGTGATAATCAGTCAATTATCTGGTTCCATGGAGCTCAAGACAGAGCAGGTTATGAAGAGGATATTTAATTCAATCACACTTTTTAGGTAGGACACTTTTCCAACATTAAACTATGTATTTTAGAAATGTAAATTCAACCAAAAAGCAGGGTCATTACATAAAAGAATGTTGCTACAGGAGACAGAGTATTAAACACATACACAAATTCTACCTTATGGCAAACATCGATTGCATCAACATATCTCTTCCCTTTCAGGTAATTGAAAGCCAGCTTATAGCCTGTAATTAAAGGGGTGAGGGGAGAGGGAGGAGAGGAAAAGAAACAATTTTAGTTTCTATACTGAATAACAAAAACATCACATTTAAATTTATTGTGGGAGACTCTGTGTTTCTAAAGTTTGTATTTTTTTTTTTTTTTTCCTACTGTTGTCTCATATATGCCTGGAAATGATCAAAATTTCTACTGAAAGTCATTTCAAGTAGTAAATAAAAGTCCTTTACACACTGATAACTATGTCTGAATCAAAAGGAGACATTATTCTGGAGAGCATGTGCTACTGGAAAGAATACATAATGGTTGCCTTCTTTCAATTACCATGGTATCCCACAGAGTTTCTCACTGTGGCCTGCAATACACTGTCCCTCTGTAAATGTAATCTCATTATTAAAGGACAAAAGTAAAAAAACCAAAAACAAACAGATAACGAACTAGGGAATTTAAATGCTATTCAGTACCACTGTCAGCAGACCACTGATATAAAAAGTCACGTGGAATAGCTAAGTTGCATAGCAACATGCCAGGCTGATACTTTCAACCTAAGAGGTAAAGCTCAAGTGTATCAGCCTGGACAGAGATGAGGCCTGAGAAAGCCTCATTAACAGCATTATAAGCATGCGGTTTCCAAAATTTGAAATTTTAAATCTTTCATTTTTAAACTTATCCTTACTGGTAAATACAGGATCTGATACCAGTTTGTATGGCTTTACTTGCCAGATGGAAATTTGTGCTGCTTTAACTCTTTTTGTTCTAATGCATGACAATTCTCACAATGCTGTGAGAAACAAGTGCACAAAGTACCTTCAATATCATATTCTCTTCTGTATGCAATATTATTTCACAGTTTAATTTCACTAAGGAACTCTCCTATCTAGACATCAAAAGGTTTTGTAATTTGTTGAGTCACCACTCTCTAGAGGATTTCATAACAAAAAATGAAAACTCTTGATCAATGTTCTGTACAAACTCAAGAAATCACAACTCTTTACTACAATTAAAACTTCTTTCTAATATATTTTATTTGATTAACAACTGCAATACTTTAACAACAACCACCATGGCTCATTCTACAGGAACAGGACCATCTAGTAAAAATGACTGCACCCAAACTCGGATACATAGAGGTTTTTCCATTTAACCTAAGTCAGATTTCAATCAGACATTTTTATTTCTGTTTTGATATAAACCTTCCTCTAGTTTGACCCTCCTAATTTTTTGGTTCACAGTACATATGACTCACAGCAGATTCTGTTTTGATAATCCATCCATGTATATGCATTTTCAGAACTATGTTATAAAAGCAGGAGCTAAAGTCCCATTAATAAAATGGTATTTTAATCTACAGATCATATTCTATGAAATCATGAACCAAACCACTGCAGTATCCAGCAGTTACAGGTAAAGAAACAAAATATTTGGCAGTTCATGTGTGTAACGGTTAAATTTTTTTTTAAGAAACACTGTTTTTTCAGCTAATGCCAAAGACTGTCTCATCCTAACGCTAAGGAAAAGCCACAGGGCACACAGAAAGAGCACAGATGAAAGACTAGAAGTTGTAGGTATTCCCAGGGGGCAATAAACACATCCCAAAACCTGGAACAGAATTTGTGTCAATTACCAGCCTTGGGACTTATGGACAGATTCTAGGTGCTGAATAAGAAAGCGGCATTTCATCCTATGCATCCTTTTCACAAAGGGCTTCCTACATTTAAACTGTCTTAATATGTGATGATTTAGTGCAAATCTCAATTTATTATCCAAGCTGGAACTTGACTAGTGCCTCAAGTTTTCAGCTAGCCATCTCTTTTAAAATAGTTGTATTTAAAGACATTTAAATTTATTTTTTTTTTTTAATCCTCACACATGCACATAAAACCTGATCCACAATTTGAATTTTGAATCAAAAATTAAATAAATCAATGACCTGTCACCATCATATATATACACATATAATTATAAAAGACCCTCTACTACAAACAGTATATAGTAGATTACTATAAATACATTATTAATGCTGTACATGCAGAGAAAGTTACAAACAGCCAACTAAAACCGTTTCAGATCAACTTTGTACTGAAACAGTAAGCAGAAACTTCTGAAGTATAAAGCTGTTACCTCTTGCCATGAGGGCTTTCCAAGTGACTGTTCAGTACACCACATTTGTGGTTTTTATGTGAGGAAAACCAGTAATATATTATTTCTATGGAAAATTAAAAACAGTCTTTCCAGTAAAAGTTAGTTGTTTTATTCCTACCATAGTGACTAAAATCATACTTTATAGGTTATATATACTTGCCTACTGTTGGATTCGTCTGGTTTCCATATTTCCAGGCCATCTCATAATTTATTGCTGCATCCTTATATGCCTGCTCCTTTTCCATTATGTATCCCATGTATTCATAAGCCTTGCAGCATGACTGTAAAACAGAAATACTCATTCAAAATTTTATTTAGGTAAGCTTCCGTATAGTAACACTGACAAGTTAATTGCTAAAATACTCTGAATCCATACAATAGGAAAGCACAAGTGACAATTGTCCTAACTTTGATGACACAATAGTCTTGATTTAAAGTATCTGTGTTACAAATGAGTTATATGTAATTAAGCACTACTCCAGGTTAAGTAGAGTTCATTACAGAGACCACTGCAATGACTCCTACCAAAAAAGTTACCTCTCTCAGTTAATAATAACCACACACAGCTGCATTTCAAGTCTAGTGTTTTACCTTCCACAAATATTGTTTGGGTTTTGTTCTTAAAAAAGTATGTTCATAGCTTTAATTTTGGAAATGGTTTAACATTATAATTTTCCAATTAAAGCTCAAAGACAGTCACAAGTAACCTAAAGAGAAAAATCAACCATTAAGTATTTAATTTCTTGTGAATCCAAGTGGCAAGTCACGAGCATCTGAAAAGCAGGTTCAGAAAAACTATTATGCACTAGTTGAAAATACTTAGCCTTGCTTAAATTATACATACATATAAATCCATCTAACTCCAAAATAAAACTTCATATGAAAGATATAATAATTCATGCAGAAATTCACATAAAAGCAGGAAAACTATTTATAAAAAATCTAACTACTGCATGCCCTTACCATGAACAGTTTATATTATCATGCTGCCAATAGATCAAACATTTGCAATAGAAAAACATATGCAGCTTTTTTACAAAGACAGCGCAAAGCAATATTGATATATAAATTGCCTTCCATCTTGAAATTTACTATTCCTAATTCGGTTTTCAAAATCCACTGATAAAAAGCTTTTGAATCACAGCATAGTGGGATCAGTATGGGAATGCCTGAAAGTTTAGGATAAAAATATATTTCCCCTCTCATTCGCGATGAACAACAAAATCAAGAGGAGTAATCAGTAAGAAGCCTCAGTTTCATACAAACAGTCTGCTCACTGGGATCTTACTAAACAATCCTAAGTCTTTTAAAATAAAAAATATCCTTATTAAATTACACTAGGCTTTTATGAAATTTTCACACCACATATTTACTTACATTGTATATATATGTAATTCAAATATGTTGAAAATAATCCTAAAAACTAACGAATCACAGTAACATGTTTTCTCAATCCAATCAAGTCTTCCAAATTGGAGAACGCCACGTAAAATATTGTCTTTTGAATTGACAAGATACGTTAAGATGCAAACTGTTCATCATCTATTTGTATAGCATAATTCCTGCTTACCAGCTTTGCATGCAAGTTGGAGAGAAGTCACTCTTTCCTGTGCTGTTTTGGAAGGAGCCAGATACACTTCTAATCTGCCATGCTCCTTGCTATAAGCACAGCCTGTTATCAAAGTCCCTCATGGATCTCAAGCTTTTTAGAAGAAAACAAATTTCTTGGTGGGCTATGTTTTTACACTTGGTAATTTCTGCAACAAAGCACCATCATGGTATACACCTGCTCAACAGACCACCTATTTCAAGATAAGTCTTGTTTTGGGAGATGACTCCCATTTATTCTCCAGCTGTATGGATTTTGAAACTGAGCATATCCTATTTTAAGGAAAACTCTCTGCAGAAGTACATAACAGCACTACACCAAGGACTGTTGGAACTGTCTCTCAATTTTATATTTAGAAATAAGAAGTGTTAAAAAAACATCTCTCTCAGAACCTGCTAAAATGTGACCAAATAATGAACCTTACCTTCCATACTAATGAAATTATATAAAAAGTACAAGCATTGTGCTCTTTTCTAAACCAAACCTGTGCTCTGCAAACAGTACTCTGAACCTGCAGCATAGTGTGTATGGAACACCAGCCTACTGGAATGCCTCACGTGAAGGAAATTCAAGATAGAAAAACATGAACAGCTTTTTGCCTATCAAAATGAAAAATAAGCACATGCTAAAATCTGTGCCTGTTCCCATAGTCAAAGCAGGGTATTGTATAGTTTTCTTGCTCAGGAACTCTGAGGTAAACAACACATTAGACCTTGTCCCCTGACAATCTACCAGACAGTACTGCCACAGAAAAAGATTAATAACGGCATTAAAAAAACCACGCACTGTAGCAGGCTTATGAACATAAATGTTTAAAAGCAAAAGATCATAAGATTTGAATATACCATCTCAGTAAATGGAGCAAGTCTCCAAAATTTATACAGCCACATCTTTCTTCATAAGTTTTGTAAGCCTCACTAAAAAGCATCTCTGACACTGCATAAACGCTCCAAGTTATTAGAGTCCTCTCAGCTGAAACTTGCCTAAGTTGCTACAGAACATGAACAAAAATGACTAAGCAGCATTTACAGGTTTGTTTACTACCCTCCAGTGTGAAGCTGCTGGTTTCCTGTCTTGTTTTGGTCTGCTTCTCCTTAAAAAGTGAAATACCAGGCAAATGAACAAATAAATAAATGTCAAAATTCTGTTCCAGAGCAAAAGCAAACATTTTGATGAATTAAAATAGAAAAGTACTAAGGTTACTTTCAATGTGCATTGACTTACCCTGTTATGACGAAGGCATCGTTTTAGAAGTTCACCTGCCATATCATATTTTGCAGATTGAATATATATATCTGCAAGCAGAAGCCAACTCTTTTCAAATTCCTCTGCATCAATGGGATTCCAGCTCATTTTTGCAATCCGTTTTAACTGATTTCTGGCTCTTGGAGTCTGTTTCAAGATCATGTAGGCCGTGGCCATTCCCAAAAGTGCTGGTATATGATCCTTCTGCAGTACAAAGTACAGGGACTGCTTGGTGCTTTTTTATTTTGATATAAATTTTTTTTTAAAAAGTAAGACTTTCACCAGGTATCTAAAAACTAAACTAAAAGTCTCAGGAAATGAAGACAGTATCTAACCTATTATCTAATCTAATCTTACAGACATGTTTTTTACCTAGTGCTACAATTAATTCTGCAATCTGATAACCACCAGGCACAAGAAATGCTTAAAAAAATCCACAGGTATTTCATCACATAAATAAAAAAATCAGATAGTACCACTAAGAGCTATACTTTTTTTTATACAAATGAATACTTCAGCTAAAATCTGGAATCACTTGGAAGTTACAATAGAAGTGGTATTTTTCACTTATAGAAGTGCCTGTCAAAAATCAGTGAAACAGACTCTGATTCCTCTCATTAGGTGTACAGCTCCTAAAAATTTAATGTCTAGATTGTATGCATGCAAGCTATATATAAACAAACAGCATTCTCAAAAACCACCATTCTATGCAAGAGACTCAAAAACAAGTAATAAGAACTCCTGGCACAAGGGCAATTTTTTACATCCTGCCTTCATTAGTAAAGGACGAGAATGAGGCTCACATCTTGCAATTGCAGCTGCCTCCTAAGAGCTGAGAGTTCTATGAGCAGCTAACTAAAATGTTTCTTTTTCCTTCCAGTGCTTCTGACTCACTGTAGGTATTCTGCCTCTACATCTCATTCTGAGGTTGTGCTGTAAATATGTTTGTCGTAGTGCATTGAAAAAAAAAAAATCCCACTAATAGCTCCTCTTCCATTTAATAAGCTCATCCCCCTTCTCCCTCAATAGCCACACCTATCATGGATCAATAACCTCAGAAGTCTGAAGAGATTAACACTATATTTTTTATGCAACCTATGAGGGAAGAACAAATAAACCACACCATTCTTCCCAGTGGAACTGCTACCATGTGAAAAAGAAGTCACATTCACAGGAACTCAGATTAATTCTGAGCAGGACTGGGAAGCCAGTACTGGAGGCAGAGGGACACCTTGTTTATGGTTCCCTTACTGCCTTACACATAAGATCAGCCCGGGTATACTGGCCTCAGACAAGGTGCAGCTCAGCACAGTTAAAGAGTAGTAGTAACTTATATATTTTATAGCATTCTGATGGACCAAATCTTTCTACACATGTTGAAATAAAATCTGTTGAAAGCTCCTGGTAAGCGGAACAACCATTATTATTCCTAAAACTAGTAAGTACAATTAATTATAAAATATTGACGATTTCTATCATAAAGATGAATTTTAAGGTGATGTATAAATTCTGTCAAATTGCCATGAAGCACTGCATAGATTTATGTTACAAGACATACTGCTGGCAACCCTGGGAATTAAAAAACAAGCCCAGTAACCAAACAGCCTACTTATATTTCACTAACAAGCAATATTAGCATTTAGCTGGGTTCTAAATTTGCAATTCAACTGAAAACTTCTAAAATATATGCTTACTGTAAGTATATGTATATTGTTATTTCAAAAACGTCTTTTTCAAATTTTATATAAAATATTCTTTGATAGGAAAATAATCCTTAGAGCAAATAGCATTAACGCATGCCGCTGTTGTGGAATATAAAATGCAAGACTAGTTAAAAAAATGTAGTAAGTATGAAAAGGAAGAATGAGGAAATGAGACAGGTTACTAACCTCAGCCACAACTATTTCTGTGAAAGTGTTCAGTGCTTGTTCAACACTTGATTTTTGTTTGGTTGCCATGAGACAATAATTCTCCATGATTCGCAGCTGAATGTGACCCTGAATGGTTTGAGGCTTGAGCTCCTTTAGCAGGTTTCCTGCTGTTCTTACAGCCAACTGCACAGACTCCTGCTTCTCTGTTGAATTACTATTATCAGGAAAAAAGTGTTCATAGAAGCTTATTTTTTTAATACACACCAAATTAATTACAAGTTAGAACTGTTTCTGTGCTAAAGACATTTTGTAGAAAAATGGCTCTGGTACATAGGCATCCTACATCAATTCTCTTCAACAACAGCAATTCCAAACCAACAAGCTGATTTTAACACTGCAAGTGACCAGCATTCCTGAGAAAATCTTCTGCATTTTCTGCTTCAGTCTCACTTATTACAGTATAGAATGGTCTCTCACAATAACACAGACTACTCAAAGCACTAGACGATCTCAAAGTTCTAGCAATTTAAATTAAGGCACATTGTCAAGGGGCAGCAGAAGGAGATGGCAGAATAACCCAAGAAATTTTTATTTAATTCACCTACCCCATGTCAGCATCGAGATTTTCAAAGACTTCTCCACCCACAGTTTCATTATCTGGGTTCAAACAAATTTCAATCATGTTGTAGACTGCATTCTGTCCCCAGTCACTGTCCTTTCGAGCTTTATTAAAATGCCGCAATGCATCGTTTGGCTCACCTGTGTACCTACATGAACAATTAAAATATTTAAAGCCAGTCAAGTAAAATTGTCCAAATTCCACCCAAATCCCAAGAAATCCAAGTACTTAAAAACAGATGACCCATTTGACCCACTGATACTGAAAGGTTTGGACAGCACACACACTATTGCAAGGAACTTCTTTTCGCAAACTAAAAATAGTCTGGCAAGTTATAAAATGTGAAGATAAACAGTATTACATTATTGAACCTGGAAGAACATCCTGACATAGTCAGAGAAACTGAGAATTTCCTTAAATCTTGACACCTTAATTAAATCAACATAGCACCTTTTAATGGATGACAAGAAAATTAATTTAAATCTATACTATATAGTCAAAATAAATATTATCTTAATTCTAATTGCAAGTACCAAAGATACAGTCCTTTGCAGTAGTGAAATCCTGGTTCAAGCTTTGTTCGGGAAGAATGTTTTTCAGCCATTAAAAGAAATCTTGGGACCTCTTCTAATTTCCCGGCTCTTCTTAACAGATCAATTAATCGAGAGAGGGTTGCATAGTTATCTAAATATACAAATAATTAGGAGACTGTAATTGCTATATGAATAAGTTAAGAAATAAAGAGCCTGCCTTAATTTTTTCACATATAAAAATGAGATGATTTAATACATAAGGTATATTACATAGTAACCTCAGATATAAGAAAGATGTCAAGTGATACTTGCAGTATCCTTTATACAGGTTTTCATAGAAGTATAATTGTACTTCACTTTCAAAAGCACTCAAAACCATTTGCTGCACTCTCGTGACTTCTTTCAAAATCCACTAGAAAACTTTACATTCATTATAGTAAAATTTTAATAGATTTTAGTAGCCTTGTCTCTGGTCCCAACTTGGAAAATGCTAAAAAAAACACTTACTGCTGTCCAAGTCAAGTTTCCTTTATTAGTCTTCAAGTAAAATATTACCTTTACATTCATGCACTTGACATTTTCAATACAAAAGAAAATTTTTTACAGTGAACAAGTAAATAACACCCTATTTGTTAAGGTAAACTATGTACATTACATTGCAGCAAAGTAAATTTTTGTATCTAAGAGAAATAATTTTTGTCATATTCCCCTAAAACATCTTTATGTTTTTATATATGGTAATGGTTTTTGGCTTTAGTATCCATTACATTATAAATAAAACATTTATTTTTAATCAAGCAAAGAATTTTTATTCAACTATTTATTCATCTCTTTTGTTAGAACTATGTATCACAACAAATGAAAAGTATCACTGCTAAATATTCACCTGGCTTGCGTTCCAGGAGCTGCTGGAAATGAAAAACAGCTTGTTCGTAATCTTGCTTCCTGAACATGAGATCAGCCATCATCTACAGTATTGAAAAATGTAGAGAAAACAAAACAAGGTATTGTGAAAAAGTAACATAAAAATTATAAATAACAAACTCTGCTTATGAGGAGAGCTAAAACTTTAGCTTCAAAGTACTACAGGAGCTGCACAAGAAGTAAAATCACTTGGACTTTTTATTACTCTCTGGAAAACAAACATAATATACAACAGACATGGGTAATAATGAACAAGTATATGAACACCTTTTCACATAAGGTGAAAATTAAAAGCTAATTAAGTAGTCTGCCGTATCTTTCAAATATGTTTTTTTACCACTGCATAGTTTTACTCCGAATTTTACTTCCAATAACTGCAGATTATGCACATGGAAAAGCAATGTTAGTTTGAAGTTAGGGAAAAAGATGATAGCTCATTTCAGCAGAGAAGGTAAAATGAGTTCTTTAATTTCAGTTTCTCTCCAATGATAGTTAGCTACTATAGAGTAGATTTAATAATGTATTTCAAGAGTGCTATTACTTCTGTTCATGCACCATACTAGAACAAATTTTAGATGTTAGACTGCTAGGAGAAAATAAATCATTCCCATTGTTAAATAATTTTGATCCTAATGTGTTACATCAAAAGTTGATCAATCTATTGAGCTATCTTTTAGGCCAAGAAGTATACAAGTCCTGGACAAGAACTTGCAGCTGTGATTAGAACTTGTTAAGTAGGAGTATGATTAACTAAGGCTGAATGAGGCTATAAAATGACCTTAAATACATAGTTCTTTTCTTCTAACACTTTTAAAAAAAATACTTGTTCTAATATTACTGCGCTGGAAAAACAGCTTCTTCCTGGAGTATTAGCCAATTATCAATAGAACACGCATTGAGCCATACTTTATCCAATCTTACTACAGCTACTTTTTCCTTTACTTCTAAAGACTCATTTTATACTGAGATAGAACAATAGCTATGACTGCTAGAAACTTTGTATTGGAACATCAGCTGGCATAAATAGGAAAACATTTTGTTGCCATGGATTTTTCACTTTTTTTTTGAAATCACAAAGCTGTAGGCTTTTGTAAAAGTAGTGCTTTATGAATATATCATACTGCAGGCACACAAACTTCAAAAGCATTAATGCAGGTTTAGCATAATAGCACATACCACTGTTGCTGCTTCATTGTCTTGGTCATTCTTCAGCAGTAAGGAACACTGATGTTGACAGGCATCAGTATCGTCTTGTGCTAGATATAAACGTGCAAGTTCCAACATTGCCTGTATATTAAAACATTTAACTGTATGTAATTCAAAGATGAAGAAAGTTGGTTCAGTTTTGAGTATCAATCTGATATTATACGGTTCCAGGGAAAAATTGTATCTCCACTAAAGAGACAGCCTTTTCTGTTGTTTCCTGTGGGCACACGTCAATTAAAGTAACCCATTTTCATTCCCTCACCTTTTAAAACAGACAAAACTTTTCTTCTTCTGAGGGATATTCTAAAGGTACATTGAAAACAGGGCTGCTCAGATAGTATTGCTCTGAAGACATGAGTACTTCAGTGTAAATAATGTTCTTGGAAAAATATAAGTGAATGTAGTTTTAAATGTATTGAAAAAAACAAATACCTCATTAACATTCACCAACTAATTCTGGAGTACAAGTAAGTTTCAGAATAAACTATTTTCTTATTTGCATTTCCAACCTACCACATTAAGACTCTGTGTGAATCCATTTCTGAGAAGCCACCACAGAATAAATATTGACAAACTGAAACGTACACTAGCATACATTCTTAAAGCTGAAGTCCCATCATGGATTACTCGAATAAAATGCCACAAAAAAATTTATAAACACAAGTTACCACAGATTTAATCCAGTTTCTATCGAAGCAAATAGAAGGTAAACTGATTACAAAGCAAAATCAGCACTAGATAAACTGTAAATCACTCCTACTTAATTTTAAATGGTGTTTTGATTTTGGTTCCAAAAGGGAAGCATTTGTAATTGCATCATAACTCTTTCACTAGTTACATTTGTAACTTCTGAATCAGAACAGTGTTTTGAACATCCTGTTCAGAACATGCAGGCTTCTAGCACAGTTTTTAACTGTTTTCTTCCTACTTCTTGCTCTGGTCATACTCAAACATACACCATGTAATTCTGAAACAGGAAGGCAGGTGGGGTAAGCACTGAAATGACACAGAGAATACATGCATGTCAGAACTTAACTATGAAAGCTTCCTTTAAGCTGCTGCTCTTATGTGCACAACTCTTGGAATGTCAGAAGGCAGTCTTGGAGTCAAGGAATACTTCCTGCAGGGAGTGAAAAAGCTAGCTAAATTTGAGTTCCGCGCTGGATTCTAATGAGTGGAAGTGGTCTCTACATTGTCAACTCCAACACAAACAATGATACTATGAAATGATGTGCATGATGCAATCCATGACCCCCTTCAAGTCTCCATCTGGAAATTGCATTGCCTCTTACCTGATCAAGGAAACAAATGGAGGGTACTACTGACCAGATTTAACCATGTAAAATAATACAACTCCCCTATGACACAGACTGCAATCTCTTTACATTTACACAAATAAATGCAGTATTTCAATGCATTTTGGGTTACTTTGGCTAAAATACAGATTTTGTTCTGATGAAACAAGGTACAGATAGGTTCAAAGGAATTTCCCTTATTTCCATATATAATTTTAAGGAAAGTAAACTCTGAAGGTGCCAAGAAACAGATGGATTTTTAACAACTCAAAATAATATTATGTAATCTAACAAAATTAAATTCTATCCTTGTACTAGCAGTGCTTTTAAAAATGAAGAGAAGAAAGCAAGTTCAAATCTACTGAAACTATAAAAATAGACTGAGGTAACTCCTTTATACTAGTTGTGGGTAACAAAATATTTTGCTTTCATTACTCAACAAGTAGGCAGCAAGTTATTAATCAGAAATTCAGACAGATTTTCTAAAACGTCACTGTATTCTGTGTTGCTATCAAAGTAGGATTAAAGCAAAAATCTTCAGTAATATCTAACAGATATTTAGTACAAATGTCTGTATCTTGTAATGGGAACCTCTCAGAAGTATGATTTTAACAAGAACTGAAGGGAAATGCCATGCTGGTCTTTCCGTACTGCTATGGAAGACCAAGTAAGGTTTTGATACTGGTGAAAAAGCCACAGCTGTACCAGGACAGGCAGTCTCCTTGTTCTTAATGGTAGAATGGGGAAATCACCATTATAAGGATGTTTTATTCCTTTACCAATTTATTTTTCTTCTCCATATCATTCTTAGAAGATGTCTTGAGACAAGCCTGTCTCAAATACACTGAAGTTGTAGCTTTAGGAAGGACCTAGATTCTTGGAACCACAAGTTCAAATATTAACTATTAAATATTAAACTAAGTGATGTATTTACAGCTCATGTGACAGCTGTTCAATAAGAAGCATCAAAGTAAGAAGTCTTCACATATACCTAGGTATGTAACATAATTATGATAGAAAATCATAGCAAATGAACAAAAACTGTATTTATTTATTTTTAATCTAGAAACAAATCTCACTAAAGTTGACAATTATTCTGCTCATTATAATTATTAATTTCTTAGACTTTTGCTTCTCTCCCTCTTATCTCTAAAACCCAGGGTTTTGAAATGATAAAAAGGAAGAGTAGGATAAAAATAAATCTGAATTTACCTGTATTCATCAACTTGTGTAAAAGACTGTGCAGCGAAGAGAGAAGCAGTACAATAATCCTGCTCAAGAACAGCAACATTTTGTGACTAAAATCAGAATCCTACCCAGTCCAGATAAAAGTCTAAAATTGCTGAAGTAGACTCAGAAAACACATAAATTGTCTGCACTGACCAAAATCACTAGGAGTTCATTTCAGAGGACAAGCACCAAGCAAGATTGGAACAATCTCCATCATTACCAGTACCTGAAGACAAGCTCACTGTGAGTGCATGCAGACACCACTTGAGCTGGGAGTTCTTGTAAGAAACAGAAGTTAGAAGTGCATGCAACTATTCTATCATGATAAGCAATAAAGGGGAGAAGGTTCAAGGTTCTATCTATATCATGAAGTAGAAATAATTGCAAATTATTCTCTTCTGTGGATAACTGCAAAAATATTTTGCTACATCTAAAAACTGAATGGAAAAACAATGCAAAATAGTCAGAAGGAGAACTGACCTTGTTATTGGTTTCACAGTGAACAAGGGCTTCTTTGTAAAATTTAATTGCTTTTTCATAGTTTCGCTGGGCTGTTGAATGTTTTGCAATCTCAGCACAAATCTCAGCCGCTAACTGTTTCTGTGCAGGAACTGCATCCAGCTGTTCTACTTGAGACCGCTTAAGCACTCTGCCTTGTAATTCCCGAGCCTGGCGTGGGGAGAGCAGTGAGCAGTCAAAAACTGTCAAAGGAATGAATTTAATTTATCAGCTACAAAATAGTGTATTTTGTTTTTTTTAAGAGAAGGAAGAACTAATACAATTCTGCTTCTTACATCCCTACCATTTTGCCTAGCAGAGAATAAGAACAAAAGCATAAAAAAACATCTCTCTGAAAACCAAGGTAAGAAATCTGTATAAGACATATAAGTTAATCCTGCTGAAATCAAAATGCAGGTGTTTTTGAGTAAATGAATGTGGCATCAAAAAGAAAAGGAACAGGAAAATATTTAAAAGGGAATGGGTACAAGGAAGGACAGTTCTGAGGGACATGGTAGTAAAACCAACAAAAAAACCCCCAAAAGGACAGAAATTTTTTTTGAAATGTGATACAGTGAGAAACCTGGAAGAACTAAAGAAGTAAAGAAAACCGTAAGAGAAGGAGACTGCTTAGGGGGAATTTTACTAAAGGAAAATTGGGGGAAAAAAAGGTCAACTTTGATAAAGTTGACTATAAGGAAACTAGAAGGAAAGAAAAAAAGTAAGAATTTGAGAAAGATAAATGTTACCAATACTGGTATTTAAACCCTTACATACAATTACCTTTCTAACCAATCTGGAGACTCTTCTTGCTGGTCAGAAGATGCTATCAAGGCTTATCATTTCTACTGCCTTCACTTTCACAGAGTGGACGTATAACACAACAGAAAGTACTGACCACACCTCTTGCTAAACCTTTTTGTTGAAAAAGCATTTTCTAAGGGATTAAACCTCTAGCTTCCAACGTTATTCTTTCAAGCCTCAGTCTGAGAGATAACAACTGCAGAATGGACAGATTTTACTGCTATTTAATACTAATACTGCTGTTTAGCAGTACAACAAAACAACAAGTAGCCATTGAAAGCTGTTCTGTGAATGGTAAAGATACGTAATCTAGCTGCCCTCGTGGCCAATTTCATCTTCACCTGATATGCTAAGACTATGCTCCACATACAAGTGAAGGCAAAGTAAGACTGCAGAGTTGCAGTAAAAGCCTGCATTCTGATCTAAAATTCAGATAACGCTCCTTGCAAAAAGCAAAGACTGTGTAACACCTTATGTACTTTACATTTCACAGCAGTCACTGGTGCTTTATCCCCAGCATACATTCATTTTCCATATTCACACCAATATTATGGTTAGAATATGGGATGAAAGCGAAACCAGGGGTAAATGAGTTTTCACTCATTCAGGTATTTTTGGTTTGCCTCTTTACCTGTTGTAATGAAACAATAGCTCTGTCAATCTTCTCCATTTTGCTGTAAATTTTTGCCAGAAGTACCTGGTAACGTACATCTTCCATCAGAGAAGACAACTCGTTAACTGTAAGATTGACATTAAACTAACATTATTCTTGAAGGAACTGATCCCAGTAAAGTCAAAGGAAAAAGCAACTCATCACACATCCCATCCTCCAGGCAAGAGTTTACATGAAAAATTCACAGCTCCATCTTACTTATTTAGAATTGTGATCTGACTTGGTGCATTGCTGGTCGGCAGAATATGTTGGTAGTAAGCAGAGTAAACACTAAAGACTACAAACAAAGTGAGATTTAAGGCCAAAGACATTGAAAGATGCAAACAGAATTTAAAAAAAATTGACTGTCTGGTCTATTTACATTTTCAGAGACCTAAGACAAAATATTTTGAGATGCAAGCAGAAAGGAAATAAAGCCACTCCTGACATTTCTGATCTAAATCCTCCTCAAAGTCAATGAAAAATGTCCAAATTCATATAATGTGCTACTCTACATGCAAAAAGCATGAGACTGTTCAATGAAATTTCTAGCCAGACCTCAAACTATGCTTCTTTTGCTAGAGTCTAGAACAGACATGAATACAGAGTTACTTTAACTAAATATTTCAGTATCTACTTAAAAGCACCAGGCTGCTTTTGAACAATGGTTAAAATAAATATGTATAAATTAGTATTTGAAGAATTCAAGCTTTCCTTGGCTAAAATTTATTTTACTCTGACAAAGCAGTATCTTGAGCACAGTTCCACATTAAAATATAGATGCCACCAAAAATTTTATTTTATCTTTATTAAAATTAATGAGTACCTAGAGCTATATTCTATCAGAAAACTGGTCTTCAAGGTGTGACATGCTGTTCTAAATCAGAGATTAGACTGTGTAACTTAGATGGTGTAAGATCATTCCCTTCAGTATGTTTCCTCTAATTTTTTTTTTTCCACAAAGGATATTCTAGCAGTTCCATAAAAAAATATTAAGTTGTTCAGTAATTTTTCCAATAAGCCAAAATTAACATTTTTCACTTAAGAGAATGTGTGTGTATCAAAACTTTGAAAAAAACATTAAAAAAAAGGGGTTTTGCTTCATTTTAAGCCATAAGGTAAGATTTTAAAGTACATGGGGCAAACTGTATTTACTGCTAATTATTTTTCTACACTAGAAAAATCAAGCTGTCTTGAGCATGACTATTAAATTAGCCAGATGCTCAAAGGCTTAACTAGGACAGGAATACAGTGTTAAATCAGAGGACTTTTTCAGTGAGAAGTAAACAAGATAGAAAACCAGCACACCGCTGCAAAGCATGAAAGTGATACAGTGACATTAGAAAACCTAACAGAATGGACTACTAACAATACTGCTTCTCTAGTCAGAGAGCCAAAAAGGTTAAAAAATGTAATTACACCACTGCAAAAAAAGTGCCCATGAACTCATTTTCTCCTTATAGTCATGCAGAAAACACAAGTAACAGTAGAAAGTGTATGTTTTCCTGTGAATTAATAACAGTCTTACCAGGCTCATGATCTAAAGCTTGCTGAAGTACTTTTTCTGCCTGTTCATACCGCTTCAATTTCATTAAAAGCTCAGCCAAATCATAGCAAAGGAAGTTCTGTTGACCATCTCTAACTGCAGCCTCATAGTAACCAATTGCCTTGAAGAAAGAAGCAAAAAGTTGTGTATAATTTAAAGACAGATCTTAATGATAAGAACCTTGTTACTTAGGTGTTTAATGACATGCTGCTTGCAATTTTCTTTACTTTTTTCCAATGGAGAAGTAATAAAACATGGGTTTGAGTGCAGGCCCAAACCCACTGCAAGTCACCAGAACAACAATTCAACAGATTAGAACCCACCAATGTGTGGATCTACTAACTGTACCTTTGGCCAGATGGTCTGAAGGGAATCTACAAACTTACTTTCAGGATAAAATATCTATTTTAGCACTCTGAAATATAATACTTTTACGTAAGCAAAGTCCACATGTTGACACAGTACTCAACTAACCTAATACAGTAATTATAGAATACCTTTGAGTAGTTATGTGTTTTGATTAGGGCTTTTCCAATTTTACTTGCTACAGATGGATCTTTTGGATTTTTCTTCAAGGCCTGCTCATAGACTTCTATGGCTTCATCAGGCTTCAACAGAAAAATATAAACACATAGAAGTCAAAGATTCAGATAAAATATGTATGAAGAAAACAAAATCTGGTAACAACTCCAGGAATGACTGCCAAGCACTACTGATTCATAAGCCACAATACTTCTGAGAAAAGAATGGTTACTGTAGAACTGCAGGAAGTGCAAAGCCCACATAAATTAACATTTTCATGCTAAAAGAAAATACGGAGAGACCTGGCAAACAAATGAGTTTGAATAAATTACAATCTTTTTCCACTGCAATTTCTCTACTACTATCTTCACTAGTTAACAAAGAGGCAGATGTATTAATGCTGGATCTGTTTTTCTCTTCTAGCCACATTACAGAGATCAAAAAAATCCCACTTTGTGTGCTAATTCTTAATTAAGGAGAAAACTACGTACAAACATTAATATGAAAACAACCATTAATCATCTACAGATCTCCAAATTAGTAATCTCATCTACCAGTTGCATGTCCTAACTCAATCTATTCTTTTAACATATGAATTTAAACATGCAGCTTTCAAATTCCTATGTCCACTTGACTACACTGTCTTCTGTAAATACTACATAGTATTTCCAGTTCATCAAGAAAGTGAAGGATGCAAAGAATGTATAGGAATTATACAATTAAAAAAATTAAGTAAAGTTACCAGCATGAGAACTAAGTTACCTAGAATTATTCTAAGTTTCAGAACACTATTCTAAACATCTCCAGCTTCTTTGTAATTTCAATTTAGCTCTCACTGTAGATATCTGTTAGTCTTATGAGGCAGTGTTCCTCTAGAAAACACTCCCTCCTTGACTTTCACCAAGTAAGCTTTTAGAAGAAATGTATTTTCAACAGTTTTTAATTTAAACAATCATAGTCAATATTTGTTTGACATCCTAAAGCAGTTTCTGTTTGACAAACATCATTCAATAAAAGTTAGCATGTCACAATGTTTCAACTATACAAAGTCAACAAACTACTCATATATTCCATTCATCTCTAGCAAGCACTCACCTCTTGAATATTCATGTATGCATCACCAAGAAGAAGAAAAGTATGAGCACTTGGTAGTTTTTCTACTAGGTCACTGGAAACAAAAGACAAAACCTGGCTCAGTATTTAACATGTCAATACTGGTATATAAACAGGAGAAGGGCACAACAATTTTATCCTCTGCAGATTTTAGTTTTTATGAGTTTTTATTTTCTGAAAATAAACTGAAGAAACCCCTGAAATATCTTTTCAAAATAAGACTTCCAAATATAGTTTTAAAAGTTACTCCATTTACTCAAATTCATCTCTAAATATTTTTCATTTATTGCAGTAGAAAGGATAAATGAGTTCATCATGCAATCCGTAAACATCTAGGAAACTATTTATGACTACCACAAACTTTTACCTATAGCAGGCGGCATATAGCTTCTTATCTTTCATATACTGAAGATAAATATCTGCCATTTTTTCTTTAGCTTGTACAAAGTAAGGCTGTTCAGGTGTAATATTGCGGAGCATAGTCAAGGCATGTTTCACATCTCCTTGAGCAATTGCCAGATCTGCATTTGCAATCACAATTCTTAGCTCCTCGGGTGTTCCAGAAAATTCATTAATGGCGTCTTGGATGACTATAGCAGCTTCATGCTGCAAGTAATAAAAAAACCAAAATTTAGATCCTGTCATTGAACAACCAAAAATATAGACATCATAACCATTTATGGGCATTAAGCAAACCAACCCAAAAAATCCCAAAAAACCACAAACCAGAGCATCCATTTGTTTTGCTATAGAGTTTTCGATTTCTTAAATGAAACTCCTGTGATATGGACTACTATAAGAAGTTATAGTGCAGAAAATTACATTTGTCTTGCATATATATAAATACATGCTCAAACTTCAACTAGAAAGTTGTACGCTCCAACAGGTCCTGCTTTGAGCAGGCTGGCCTCCAAACCACAGTACTGTACAGCTTCTATTTTTATACGTATGTAGTGTCCTATTGCTTATCCAGAAACAGCTGATAGTAGGGATGCTGCTACACAAAGATAAGGACATGATCCAAAACTACAGTTAATAGCACAGACAACATAGACAACAAACACTGGGATCTACATCCCAGCAAATGAACATCAACAGTGTGAAATGGTCTTTACAGTCTCAAAATTGAACACATGCAAGCATTTTTTTGCTCTCAAATCATATTCTCACACACTGGAAATTTTACTAAGCAAAACCTTTTGGTAAAAGAAATGATGGTTTCCTATTCTGAACTAATAGAAATGGGAATGGGAAGAGGGAATTGTTTTCAGGTTTGTATTTTAGCAGGTTTGGCAACATACCGGTTCTCCATTCAAACGATGAGCTTCTACCAACTCTAGGAACACAGACACACGATCACTTGCATCAATTTCAATACTTTTTCCTTTTGTTTTTGAGGAAGTTGTACATTTTCTCATTCCAGGCAAATTCCTTGCCATCTGTAAGGTTTTAATAGCTTCTGATATTTCTCCCATCTTCTTTTGGATTTGGGCCTTAATTAAGTGATATACAGGATGCTCTCTCACCTAAAAAAAATACAATATAAAGAGTTTCCAAATTTTACTTGATGTAAAGTATTCAAACCCCTTGAAAGATTTTTTTTAATACTGACTTTGGGTTTTTTTTCTCCTCCAAATATACACAAATTCAGCTTCAGGAATTTACTTATGAAAATATAAGAATTGTCAGAGTATGCAAACTAGTAATTTAGTAAGTTTTTAATTACAAAGAAAAACTATTACATGGGACAAGACTTTGGGATAGAACAACATTAATTGCTGCTTTATTTTAAACTAGATTGAATTTTAAGATATTCTGAGTGTCTCCCACACTGCTGCATGCACACTTCACAAGCCTATTAATTAAAGCAAGTATAAAACCATTATTTGCCACTAGTCCTGCATGCCATTCTTCACCTTCCTAAAACATACTTCACATGAAACAAAAAGTCTATAAGGAAAATACAGCCCTGTGAAATGGCAGGGACCTCAATTAGGTACCGAAGTAAATATTAATATTTAGTTTTCTTGTGTCACTTAGAGGAAGAAAGCAAGATGCTTTCTTGCTTGCAAAGAAATGGCAGTTTTCAGCTAAGTGGTCTCAAGACACTTGGGCAGAACTCCAGCCTAAAGAGTGAGGGTATGTGTACTATGTTCCCAACTCTCTGCTAATCCTACATAAAATTCCACTGATGTCAACAAATCACAAATCCCATACTGCAATGTGTAAGACCCATGAAGTGTAACTTGCGAGGCGTTAGTTTTGTCTTCATGGTCATTTTTTGGATAAATATTCAGATACCACATTCATATAAACATTTAAATATTAAATTTGTAGTGTAAGAGTTATAAAACGTTCAGTTGAAAATTATTTTAGACAAAAACCTAAAACTCCAGATGAATGACTGATTATAATTACTTCATTCTTTGTTCAACTCACCTCAAAATTATAGCTTAGACAAAGTTCCAAGGACTGAGAACATAATTTGATATTGTTTTGAGCCAAGTACACTTGGGCCATGAGTAAGTGTGCATCTGCATAAGAAGGGTTCCTTTCCAGACAGTAATGTAGATTACTATGGGCTGCTTCAATATCCCCTAAGAAATGGGAAAAAGAAGGGAAAGAGAAAAAGCAGTTGATATGAAATACAGAGGTTATATATAGTACTTGTATTTGCAATTTTTTTTTTAATAAATGTCAGCATCTAGTGAATTAACTCATATAAAGAATTATAAGGTTATGACATGAAATCAAAAGCAGGTCAAAGGTATGGTGTTTCCCTTTGCTCCATATGTAAATCACTCAATAAATTAACTTTTTGGGAAACAATAGATAAAAAAATACTATGTTTGTATGTCTGCACAATTAAGATACTCTCATATAAGGGACAAAAAAGTGAATAGCAAATGTTTTTCACTTAGCTGTAACAGTGCTCTGCAGTGAACATTCTGCATTATTATTTAAGTGTGCAATTAATTTTTTATATTCAATAAACTAAGAAGTCAGTTAACTATCTCTTCATATAACTATTACCTGACAAGTACTTCACTTTTGCAATTAAAAAAATAGCTTGTTGAAGACCAGGCACAGTTTTTACAACAGTTTCAAGAACTGAAGCACAGTGCTTGAGAAGTGGTGAAGGAGACTGCCCAGGACTTGCAGGCTAGAAGCAAAAAAAAACAAGTAAGTAATACAAAAAGAACCTAAACAAACTAGCAAAAAACAGCATTTGAGCCAACAGGTTTTTTTATTTAGGTTTAATTTTAATTCTGAGCTTCAATTTAAACTCAAATGAGCATTAGCAAAGCTCTGTTATTTCCTTCAGTCAAAGCAACTTTTGTGAAGAACTGTAAAAAAAGTTTGAAATTTAAGGGGGCAACTTCTCTATATCATCAGGAACACAAGACAGTCTCAGACTTCAAGGTTGATAAAACACTTCAGACCTGACATACGCAGAAGAGTCAGGCCACAAGCATTTGGTTACACATTCCGAATTACCAGGCCAACACATCCAACACAGCAGTACCATGAATTAAATTGCAAGAAAGCTGAACTTGGAATGAATGATGAGAAGGCTGGGAGGAAACAGTTCTGGTCCTGTCATGCCTATCCTCATCCCACACCACAGAAGATACCTATACTTCTAGCAACAAACTGAAAACAGAAGCTGAAAAATAGCTACTTCATGCAAACTGCTAGTACAATATACCACATTTTAGTTGCTCTTCATCAGAAACATTATTGATTTCCCTCTATGAATTTAGCTAGTTGCTAACTGGTTTATACATTAAAAAAGGAAAAGGCAACCTAAACATCATTCTGTTCACAAATAGTATTTCTACAGGACCCAAAACCAAAATGGAAGCCTCCATCACCTAGCTAACTAACTCCTCAGTTTCAAACATCATGTGGTCCTTTTTGCAGTAAAGAGATAAAAGAAACTTCAGCAAAGGCCAATCCCTTCTTCTAAAAATCTTTCTATGGACAACAATTCAGAAAAGCAATTTTAATTCCAAATTAAAAACCACCACTGCTGTTCAATATTTCCAGAACATATCCCAGGGAAGGCTTCAGATAAGAGCACAACCTCACTTGCTATCACCACCACCTGTGACATGAAAATGTCACTTTCTCACAGATGGTAAGGTAGCTCATAACAATGGAAAGCTACTTGTTTTCCCATTAAGATTTTAAAATTCTATATAAAAATATTTATGGAAAGGTTCTGTAATTGGGCTAGAAATAATGTCAGGATAACAGAAGTCAGCTCCCAGCCAGTTCAGAAGAATAATCTATTTAAGGAAAACACTATTTAAAGAAACTTTAAATGAGTTTCTTCTGCTTTAAAGATGTCAGGTCCCCATTCAATTTATTAAGTTCTACACGCCTTTGTTGCCAAAACTAGAACACAAATTCAGCCACAGAAAATTAAGCCACCTAAATGAGTGCAATTTTTCACTGGAATGAATAATAATATAAAAAGTCAGAATTACCCTGATTTTTACCAACACACAAAAGAAAGAATTTATGTATATTGAAAAGATATCCTAAGCCAACAAAAGTATTTCCTGAACAGGGTGGTCAGTGTGAACATCCTAGTTTCATAATGAGATAGCTCTATTCACTGCATGGCTACAATTTCCTCAGAGACACTAAGACAGTGCAATTACACACACAGGGTGCATTGAATAAACATCCCAAGTTTCCTCAGGTGTCAATCATTACTGACACTTTGCTCACATCACAAAATATGTATTTTTATCATTACTTTGGCTAAGCAGTCATGTAATATCCCAAAATATACTCTTACCTCAAATAAATTCACATTTTAAAAGGGAAAATTTTCTATTTTTTTGCTTCACGATTAACTGTTCTCAAAATGAAAAATTCTCATTCTCAGACAGATGTGATCTAAAGGTGCTTACCTGTGCTGGACAAAAAATAAGATATTCTCTAATAATTTCTAGCAAGAAATCTGGGTTTAGTTTTTCAAAATACTCCACACCAAGAGGAAATCCATGCAGAGATGAGAAGTGAATATCCAGAACATCGTTCAATAAAGCAAAAACTTCTTCCTGTCTCTTATGTTTTTTCATAGCTAGGACTGCATGCAGGAAAGATAATTCCTACAGAAAAGAAAAAACAAACACAAAACTCCAAACATTCTGCATATTCCCGATACATTCATCTGTTACTCATACAATACTACATAGTTATTAATGTTAGCCACTTCTTTATATTTAGGGATACTCTTAGGCATTTAGTATGTTGTAAGAGACATTTGATGATTATTCTACCAATTCATTCCTTGAATTTGTGCAAGAACCTTTACATTTGTATGACCACAAAACCCTGGAAATAATTAGTATTTGTCCTTCCCTCACATTCCAAACTCATCTGCAGAGTAAAAACACAGATAGAAAGTAATGTTATCGCTCTGCAAGCAAACAGCCTGGTTTTAACTTAAATAGAAAGAAAATCTAAAACTTAACAGTTCTCCATTAAGAATGCTCTACTCAAGTGACTGAAATATCAAATGTGTGATAGTTAGAAGGCCACAGTTCAGACTGTAATCAAAGTATCTCAGTAAAGAAAGATGCCTCCTACCCCAGATTTCCCAATGGACTGCTGAATTTCATTAAGAAACTCCAACTGCTGCTCCGCATCTTCTAACTGCCCTTGTATTAGCTGACAACGGATAATTCCTGTAACACATGGAAAAACTTTATTGCCAATTCATCTTCCTGGTTAAGTGCATGCTTTCTTTTCCAGAAGTAACTTTTCCCCTCCTCAACCTCTCCATAAGGCAGTGACAGGAAAAGAAAGAAGGGATCAAGACTTATAGTAATGAAAATTTTACATACTCAGAAAAACCTACGGTAGGTGACACATGATTGATACATTAATATGCTATAAAGCAGTTTGAAATGGTAAATCTTCAGCTGGTTCTAGACTAAGCAGAAGCACCATAAAGTCTGGCTTCTAAATTCAGAAAAAGTACAAGAAGGAAATCAACCTCAAGCACACATGCAAACCACTCCTGCCATCTAAAGTTTTAATACCGTTTAAGGCCATGGCACAGTCAAGGAGGAAAAAAGTACAGGGAAAAATCTATCAGGCAAATACAACACATTTACACTCCATTTTCTTGACACAAATAGGACTTATTATAAAGTGGGGGTTTTTTGGATGTGACACATACATCCAAAGTATGATGTTTTGATTTGATTATGGTTTTCAATCTAATTTGGACAAAATGAGGACATGGACAGCTTGTTCTATCATGCCCTTGATTTTCTTATTTTTGTAGTGCCTAAGAGTTCTCTAGTTCTTTGGCACTACAGAAATTAAATAATAATTTATTTAATAATAAAGTAAGTATTTAATAATAAAGTAAGTATTTATTTAACTAATAAAGTAAGTAAAATACAGCAAAATATTCCTACTCTTACTTTGAGAGCTCTAATTTAGAACAGAGAAGATTAATTTTTCACTAAGGAAGACCAAAAGACATTCAGTAATGAGAAACTGTTGCCACAAGGAAGAAAGCACCCAATGAATCTAAAAATACAACCCAGTGCTCCTGTTCTAATACTTCTAGATTTTCCTAGTACCAATAATAGGAAAAATTAATCAAAAAACATTGTCTAGCAAAAATTTAAAGGAAGTGTAAGACCTTACCAGTTAGTGCAGAAACACTTGTTTCATCAAGAGTCATAGCAGTCTTGTACCATTTTAGAGCTTCCTTCACCTTCCCTTGCAAAATCATTTGGTAGCCAAGTTCAGTAGCAAATTCTGCATTGTCAGATGCCAAATCAAATGCTCTTTGTATTAAGGTTTGTGTATGCTGAAGGATGAGCTCGTTCCGGCCACACTAATGGTAAGAACAATCTTTAAGCTTTTCTCATTTTTCAGATTCAATTAGACAAGCACACTGAATATAGCCAGATCAGTAGAGACAACAACACCTCATGTAAGAATAAATTAGCCTGAAGTAATTCTATACAAATGGGGACATTAATGTGGGATGGACTCAAACATAAATATACAATATCCTACAATAAGGAATAGTTGCTTTGAGTGCTTCTTTACAGCCATTTTTGATAAACACAGAGATTAAAGAAACCTTTGCTTTCAAGGTTACGTGATTAACTTTGTCAGTTTACAGTAAGAAGACAGTGGTGAATATTTGAGTGTATTTTCACTGTTTCTTACCTAAAAGCAAGCAGTAAAACCATTTTTGGAATGAGATTGTTTAAACATGGTAATTCATGCTGAATATAAGACTTGAAAGATGTGGTTAACAAGGCTACACGAGTTAATCTATTTCAATTGTCTACAACTTTCTACTTTTCAGTATACCTTTAACATCTGCCTACAAAAAAACGGAACAAAACCAGGATAGATAGATAGATAGATAGATAGATAGATAGATAGATAGATAGATAGATAGATAGATGCTGCTTAAGGAAAAAAAAATACTCACTGTTCTACTGAAAGCTAAAGCCATTTTACAGAATAGCTCAGAATTACGTGGTTCTAATCTATCCAGTGCTTTAATCAGGTCTCCCAGTCTTGCTGAAGCCTTGAAGAAAAAGGAATAATATAATAAATAATAGAAAGAATTAACAAATTAGGACAATCAAAGTTTTCATTATAAACTACTCATATTTTTACTATGCACTAGTATCTTGAAATGTAAATTCAGAGGTTTTCAGGGTGAGGAGTTAGACTTGAGAATTCCTAAGACAATACCTTGGAATAGTAAAGTGACAATAAAGCAGACCATGTGTCCTTTATCCATGCTCTAAAAAGGTGAAAGGCTTGAGCTAAATCTGATATAAGACACACATGTTCAAAAGCAAAGCTTTTTTCCCAAGTGCTTTTAACATTAGTTTCTCTAAACACCTAAGGGATTTTTCTGGGCATACAATAATAAGGTAGACAGGTTTTTTTTAATATGGTTTTAGACGCAGACACCTGAAATGTGTAAATCTAACAGGCCTTGAAATTTTTCCCTAGATATGGCCCTTAGTTACATGTGACATTTCACACCAGTATCTTTACCTAACACTCTACTATGTCCAGCAAGGTTCCTTCCGGGATGGCTCCACTGGAGTCAGCAATGCTTACTACTTCTCCCTATTTCCCCCATGATTTTGCCTAAGACTTAAATTTGATTGTGAGGCTAATGACTGAGTTATTTGCAATAAATGAAAATGTGTTAAACAACATACCTTTACTTCTAGAACTTGAAAACACCTACAACACAATGAAGACACTTTCTTTTCCTAACTTTCCACTTAAATTATCACAGTAGTTTTGCATGAGAAAAAGTATAGAATGAATTTTTGGTGACAACTTAGACCAACTGTTTTAGAACTTCCTGAAAAATGGCACAAATGCTGTACATATAAAATACATGCATATAGCCCCGTGCAAGAAAATGGATCTTGGGACTAGAAGGAAAAGTAGCATAGAATGCTTAGATCCGAAAAAAACACACAGTAACTGTCAGAAATTATGAACAAAACACAGGTGTAACAACTATGACCTTCTTCCAAAAATCTATCACTACAAGACCTCATGATTGCCCTTATTTCAATTAATAAAATATTTAAAATAATGGAAGGCTTACGAATTTATCAAAAGAGCATTTACACAAAAAATATCACTTTGATGATTCAAATCAACATGATTCAGTAAACTGTCCATATCAGATTTCTGTTTGGCTTGACCTGTTCACTGGAAAGACAGTGGTTAAAAACTATCTTTCCCCTGGCATCCAGAAAATACCTCAGCAATAAGCTAGGGTAGGAATTCAAAGTGGAATAGGTGAATAAATCTCCTGCAGATTAGTGCAGGACCAGCCAAAGTATATGAGGAGAACACATAAAGAAGACAGCCTCTGTAGGGACTAAATGCCACGTGCACTATGCTGTGCTCAACATTCGGCTAATAAAAAGACTCACCTCAGATATATTTCCTTCCCTGCACAGATGATGCAGGGCCTCCATTCTTATGGCTTCTAAATTAAGAGGATCTTTCTGCAATAGTCTAAAGCCAAACAAAAGGTGAATGTAAAGAAACCAAACCAAACTTGCTCAATCATCTATTTTATCCTAAAACAGAAATAGAATAATGTGTATTTCACAGTCATTTTACTTCATGGATCTCAACTGGAAGCACAGCTCTTTTTTCACACCTATCTCAAGAAAAATCCTCTTCCATCTAAAACAGATTAATGCATCAATGCAGCATCCTCACAGAATTGCAAACTGTGGTTCTAATAAAGCTTAATTTATTTGAAATTTATTTTTAAAAAACTGATGCAACTAATTCAGATTCATTATCAATGAATGCAAGCCTATCTATTTTTGTTCACAATGTCCTTAGTGTGTAAACATGGCAAGAAAATAACTTAGTGGTGTGCTACTTCATACTCAACCTATGTGCCGTTTCAATTGTCTGCTCCCAGTCCTGCAAGGCGAGTTGTAGCTTCATTTTCTTTATGAAAGCAGGAATGAAGTTTGGGAAGTTAGCAATTATCTGGTTCACAATTTCCAGAGCTCCTGAATAATTCTGTCGGACCTCAAAATACTGTGCCTAATGGAAGGAAGAGAAGCCATATCAAGAGCCTGTACACTCAGGTGAGAAGACTCAGAAGTTCTTTCATACAGAAACCAGGAAAAAGAGCTAGAGAGAAAAAAACCCTGAAGTAATAGTTTTACCTGAGTATCAACAACAACCAGACATACTGCAACAATCAAATAGCAAAGGATGATGTGTAAAGTCTGGTGTGTGTGATAAATGCTCTGTAACAAAGGTAACAACAGTATTTACAGCTTACTAGGCAGTTGCAAGCAAGAAAAGACAGATGGAGCTGAAGAGTAAAATTTTTTTTTTTAGAATTGAAATACCTTTGTATGAAGCATCCCACAGATTTTGGGATATTTAACACAACCCACTGATGAAACATGTATTCAAGCTCTGAGGTACCTACCATGTAAAAACCCACGCTCAGCAGGTAACTATTGTTGTTGCCAGAACTAACAATTTTCTAACTATATTGAGATTTACAGGGTATTCCAAGTACAAAACTTTCAGAAGTTAAGAATCACAGATTTAAATTCATTCAAGTTGAAACAAATTTAGGACTTAAACCCTGTTTTGCTTTGATGCCTTGAATTTACTGACCTTATTCCAGACGACTGTATGGGTGTTTTATTTCATCTTTTTAAGACAGAAGTGATGTAAACACACCAGTTTCTAAGAGTTAATGTCTTAAGCCCCAGTGAGATTCATGTCTGTCTAAACCCTAATTACAGTAACTATATTTGACATATATTCTTCATCTAATTCCATAGTCCACATGCAGCCAAGAATACATGCCTAAAAAATTACCATTGTGCACACTCTCCTGAACTTCAGTCTTCTAATATTCATTGAACAATACTTTCTACATTTAGCTTTAGAATAGTAAACAAAACATCATGTTAATGAGTAACTATGTCTGTGATATAAAAGTAATATGCTCTGATAAAGAAAACAATTCATGCCACTCCTTTAATGAAATACAATCATTGATGATTACATGAACACAAATGAACACACAAAACGGACTAATGACAACTTAAGAAGAGTGTTAACAATATTACAGTGTTTAGCTATTACAGTTTGGCACACAGCAATTCTGTAATATGCTTAGGTGTCTCATGCAAAAAGGAAGAGACCACACATTGCCAAGTGATTTGAAACTCATTTTGTACATATAAATATACGAATAGAAAGGTTTTCTTGTGTGCATAGCAAAATCATAACCACAGTAAACATTTAGATTGACCAAATTTAATCTGCACCTTTCTTTTTACATCGGTATGTAAAGAACCATGAAGTACCTACAGAGTCTGAGCTATATCTCCATTCCTTGGACAAGCTCATTATGCACTACTCTTCTCAGCATCTCTCCAAACACTCTCTAAGACTATTATGACATTTAGGAAGAGTTAAAATAATGAAGTACACTTAGTTTACCAAGCAATGAAGTAAACTTACTTTACCAAGTAGTGCAAAAACATCATTGCCTTCCTGCAGTGCTTCATCAAAGTATTTCAGAGCCTTTTTAATGTGAGTTTCTTTCCCACAGGTGAGATCAAGCCATGCTTTCAAAATTAAACCCTGTTAACAAAAAACAAATTGGAATTCTTTGCTTACTAGGTAGTAGAAAATTAGGGTAGATACAATAAGCAGAAATAACCTAAATTAAGGACTCTGAGTATCTATTCTAACTACTTCAAAGACATAACCAGTCTACAGCATAACCTAACACTTTAGCAATTTATTCCAGATTTAAATTAATCAAATAGTACATTTACTTACAGAATTAGAAAAAAAACAATGCTACCAAACAAGTCTAACATGCTCAGCAGTCAGAACAAAACCTCACAGATGTGATCACACTAGACAGAGTATTTTCTGCAAACATTTCAGCACAATGTTTCCTTAAGATTTTGTTTATATGAGACACCAAGAAACACACTGGTGCTGAAAATAGTGAGAAACTTAAGATTTTTCTTCTACTTTCTGATTAGAAGGAAAAACTTGTATGTGAAAGGCAAAACTCATGATATTTCTCAAATCCTCAAGTGTTATTAAAAGAACACCCAAACTTTCAAAAGGTGAAATGTGTCTTTTTTGTTAAAGAACTTAATACTTCTAATGAATGAAATTTATTTCTCTGATGTGTTCCAAACATTAATTACAGCTTAACTAAATAAAACCTATTTTGAAGTGCTGAATTATTTAATCAAATCATAATTGTCACCAAAAAAATATCACTTGCTCTTTTAGAACATAAAGAAATGGGTCCTGTATTTAAAACTCAAAGGTTAGCAGAAGAGCCGTATTTTGTAATTGCTAACATTTGTGGTCCTGATTTAGTTATGCAATGGAAACTGGCTGAACTTTATATACTCAAGCATTTTTTTAAAGAAAGGCAGGTGCTGTATTTCCATATAAGGAATATATAAACTATCTTATCAAAGTACGTGTACACTAAACAAATCCTATTTCACCAAGTTTAAACACTCTGAACCACCTTTCAAAAAATCTGATGTAAATATTTAAATATAATTTCATATTACCAAACTAGAAAAAGAGCTAATTGTAAGTGAAATTAAAAAAAAAAAAAAAAAAAAGTATATTTAAATACTAATGTACTTTTTCCTTTCTATGCATGTGTCTGTAAAAAAAAAAAATTAATTACTTCAAATATTTTTTAAATACCTCAGCTGGAAGTATTTCATACTAAGCAACATACCCAAACAATATCTCCTAAGAATAAAAACAAGCAAACAAAACCAAACTACTTGTTTGTTTCAAGAAACAAAGTCATAAATACTGCTATTTGACCAAAATTACCTGTCCTTAGTCTTTTTAGGATCTACAATTTTATTGCTTTGTGACTTGTTTAATTATTTCTTCATGAATATAAGTTATTTCTATATTAGTATAAATTAGCCAATAAATTAGTTCTTATCTAAAATAACTACCAATTTAAATTAATAATCACTGTTAGTTTGAAAGCTAAGCTATTACTTAAATCATACTTTCAGAAACTAATGTGTAGAACAGTTGCAGATTTCTAAGTCATGTAATAAATCAAACACAAATAAATCACAAATTGAACAATGTATTGAACCACACAGAGGAACATTTTTGTTTGATATTACTGTATAGTTATCCTCCCAACATTAACAGCTCTGTCTCAAAAATGTTTAACTACAAAAAATAAGCCAATTTTTTAATGTTTCTCTCCTTGAACTGAAGCTAATACCTACTTCAAAAAAATAACACAGTAAGTTTTTAGAAACCTCTTTAGAGATTCAAGATTTTAATGAATTGTTATGTTTGTATATAAATGCCAAAGACGATGCCATGTACAGCACTTATTTCAGTAAAACCCTAGGCAAATTTTGCCTTTAACAACAGCTGAAAATTTATATCCCCATTCCTCTGGGTATTTTAGAGCCTTCAGATACAGATGTCTCCCTCTAGTGAGATTATCATGCTTGTTTTTTGCTAGGAATTAAGAGGCTTGGTGTCAAGTAGCAATACCGGCTTAACTGCATAGCATTTCCATTTATTGATTTATTTTCATTTATTAAACCATTATTTATTATTTACTAAGTGAAAATGAATATTAGTTGACCAAAAAATCATGATGGGAATTTACTCAGCTGTGTCAAATGAACTTCTGACAGTTAAGAAGGGAAGTACTAGAACACAGTTCAGGATAATCCCCAAACAGCATTAATGCCATAAGTCTAACATTCTAACAGAATGCACTGTCCTATTGATCTTTTACATTAAAGAATGCTAAAAACCAGTTACCTCTTTACCAGCACCAGAAACTTTGATCGTTCTATCAACATATTCACGGGCTTTGTCCTCACGACCAAGAAGCCACAAAAACAAGCCAGCATAGTACAGAGCCTGCTGTCCTGCTGTTTTACGTTGTTCCTTCAGTCTTGTATCCAGCTCTAGAATAGCCTCTCGATCTGAAAAAGTTTTGTTCAGAGTTCTTGTTGATAGCTTCTCGATATATTACAAAAGAGCAGAACCAAGGGATACCAAAGCAAACACTGTTTTATCTATTGCTCATTGAAAACCAACAACGGTGACACACCTAATGCATGAGGGAAAGGCTCTCACTCTCAGAGAGTCTTGAGATTTACAATAATTTTGCTGTCCTACAGTATTAATCCTCAGGGACTCAAGTAAGAGTGATGCCATTAGTCAGAGCTGTTTCACATCAAATTTTTTAACAAACTGCCAGCAGCAGCTATAAATCTGCACAATGAGAAAGATATTGCAGTGATAGTTTAATGACCACTCAATGCACCTGATAAACTAATTCTTATTTTGAGAGTGTAATTCTTAACAAAATCATCCCAGCTTTTACGCTGGGGAAAGGAATGCCAAAAATTCACAACATTCTCTTCTCCATTTGTATGGTGAGGATAACTTAAAAGAAGATAGAAATAGCATGTCTTTCAAAACTTTTCAAGTTGCAGTTCTGCTCAAAAATACCAATATCAGACATGAGTGAACAACAATCACATGAAGCTTGACTCAATTTTTAGATTCCTTCAAAGATTTTTCATCATGGTCAGTAAGTCAGATTTTGTGTGCAGGCACATGTGTTTTTATTTTAACAGTCATTCTTTTGCTTCAGAGTTTTGTGGTTTGATATTTTTGTTTATAATCTTGGTAAGCATCATTCAATTGACTAACAGTTCCTATCCCAAATGCAAAGCCAGCATAAACCTTTTTAACTTGGGCAGAATTAGCCTACAACTCTCAGGCTACACAGAGCTGTTTAAAACATGAAACAGCCTGTCTTAGTAGGCATACCTGGATTAGGGCTCTTTTTATGGGCATAAATCAGAGCCATCATCGTACAAAGTGACACCTCCTGTCTGTTTTTAATAGACTCCAACTGTCGAATACCTTCTTGGACATCACCTAGTAAAAAAAAGCACATAATAAGCTATCACACTTTTCAAGACAAAGAATATAATCAACAAATATCAATCTGACTAAAATTTTCCCTTCTATTTTTTTCTTCCATGCTTTTGTTTGTTACGCATATACCCACTTTCACTTGTTTGTTTAAGTCTTTCAAACAGACACAGGAAAGAAAACAGCATCTCAGTGCCAAGAACTTGAATTATGTGCTAATTCTGCCAACTGTCAGAAAGATGACAATCATATTTATTGTTTCATACAGCTCTTTTTGGTCCTGTTTCTTTATATAACCAGGATTTTTGCCTTTTTTGTGTGAATATTTTGAATATTAGTAAAATAGACAGTATCTTGAAAAACGGTAGGATTCTTACATAAAAACACCTGGGTGTTTGGGAACAGCCACACTCCCTCAAAACCAGCACACCTCCCTAGACTTGCCTCGGCCCTCCCCCATGCTGGGTTACTAGTTAATATTTCTGACATCCTTGGAATATACATGTTGTTAAATAAACTTCTCAGAACAGTGTAATTTACACAAAGAACCCCACTAGGTAGTAGCTTGTCAGTTTCCCTGAGAGAGAGGACACAACAAAATTAACACAGCCTCTTTGAAAGGAAGAGCTGGCTGGGAGACACTCATGAGTTTCTGATCAAATGCAATATGCGTTTCGCCAGGGCTCAAAATTCCCTCCAAGGAACCCATTCACGAGACTCATATTCACGACACCAAAGAAAAATACTTGTTATTTCCCACTTTGGTACGATGCTGTCTCGATCACTTTCATACAAACCGGGGAGGAGCGGTGACAGATCATAACACCCCGGTCATTTACTCCACACGGAATACATTCAGACTCCGTAACATCGCCTTTCCCTGCGCAGCGGACTAGGGGCTGAGTTTCGGGAGGCGAGGCGAGGAAGGCCAGCGTTCCGGGAGGGGCGGCCCCGCCGCCTTACCTGCCCTCAGCGCGCCGTAGGCCCGGTAGAAGAGGAGCACGGGGTCCCCGCCCAGCCGCGCCAGAGCCTCGTCCGCCGCGGCCCGGGCGTGCTGGAAGAGCCCCTGCTGGCAGTAGTAATTGAGCAGCGCCTGCGGGGAAACAGCCGCGGGTCACCGGTGCCAACGCTTCGCCCCGGGACGGCCCCGGGGACACCGCACCCACCGCCCCGGCCCGGCCCGGCCGCATTCCTGCCCGGCACCCCCATCCCTCCCTCGTTCCCAGCTGCTCCCTCCGCCGGGGCGGCACGGCGGCGGCGCCCACCTGCTGCACCTCAGCGTCCATCGTTGCTACCCAACCCCGCCGCGGGGGGGCTCCGGAAGGGCGAGGACAGCGCCCTGCCATTGGCTTGGACGGGCAGGAGGCGGGAGAGACACGGG